ATTCTTGTAGGAATTTCTGCATCCAAAAGAGTTCCTTTGCAGCTTCTGTGGCGGCAATATACTCTGCCTCTGTAGTAGACAAAGCAACACATTTTTGCAATCTAGACTGCCATGACACTGCTCCCCTGCAAAAGTCATCATATAACCAGAAGTAGACTTCCTAGAATCCACATCACCAGCCATGTCTGCATCTGCAAAACCATCTAACATAGGCTTACCACCTCCAAAGCACAAACAGACTCCAGAAGTACCTTTGAGATACCTGAGTATCCATTTCACAGCTTGCCAATGTTCTTTTCCCGGATTAGAGAGGAAACGACTGACCACGCCAACTGCATGAGCAATATCTGGACGTGTACACACCATCACATACATCAAGCTACCAACTGCAGATGCATACGGAATATTCTCCATTTCTTCTTTGTCTTTCTCACTTGTAGGACATTGCATAGAGCTCAATTTGAAGTGACCTGCAAGTGGAGTGCCAACTGATTTTGAATTTGACATATTAAACCTCTCCAATACCTTCTCAATGTGCTTTTGCTGTGATAACCACAATTTGCAATTATTCCTGTCACGTGTAATTCTCATGCCAAGGATTTGCTTTGCAGGGCCTAAATCCTTCATTGTAAAGGACTTGCTCAACTCTCTTTTCAAATGCTCAATCTCTTTCATGTCATGACCAACAACCAACATGTCATCGACATAGAGCAAAAGGATAATAAATTTCTCACTAGGGAATTTCTTCACAAACACACAATGATCAGAAGAAGTTTTTGCATACCCATGATCCACCATGAAAGAATCAAATTTCTTGTACCATTGCCTTGGAGCTTGTTTAAGACCATACAAGCTCTTCTTCAATCTGCAGACAAGCTTCTCTTTACCTTTGACTGCAAAACCATCAGGCTGCTCCATGTAAATTTCTTCCTCCAAATCACCATGGAGAAATGCGGTCTTCACATCAAGTTGTTCAACCTCTAAATTCAAACTAGCTGCCAAACCAAGTACAACTCGGATTGAAGACATCTTGACCATAGGTGAAAAAATTTCTTCAAAATCTATACCTTTCTTCTGACTGAATCCTTTCACAACCAACCTTGCCTTGTACCTTGGTTGTGAGCTATTTTCTTCTGACTTCAATTTAAACACCCATTTATTCTTGAGTGATCTCTTACCATTAGGTAGCTTCACTAGCTCAAATGTGTGGTTCTCATGTAAGGATTTCATCTCTTCTTGCATGGCTTTGTACCACTTGTCTTTCTCTTCATGTGACATAACTTCTTCAAAGCTTTGTGGCTCTCCCCCATCAGTAAGCATCACATATTCATGAGGAGGATATCTCTGTGAAGGGTGGTGCTCTCTGGTGGATCTTCTCACTGGCTCAGGAGGTTGCTCTGGTGGAATTTGTTCAATTTCTTCATCAACTTGGGGCTCAGGAACATCACCTGCATTGTCCACATCTGCATTCACATCTCCCCCATTACCATTATTATTGACTATGGTAGGAGGCTCTGGATTAACATCAATGTACCTGTGGCTAACCTGTTTCTGCTTTTCATTCTTGTCAATATCTTCGATGGTTTGGTCTTCAACAAAAATAACATCTCGACTTCTAAGAACTTTCCTGTTAACCGGATCCCAAAACCTGTAACCAAAGTCTTCACGGCCATAACCCAAAAAGATACACTGTTTTGATTTACCATCAAGCTTGGACCTCTTATCTCTAGGAATATGAACAAATGCCTTGCAGCCAAACACTCTCAAGTGATTATATGAGACATCTTTCCCTCGCCACACCCTCTCTGGAACATCACCATCAAGAGGAATTGAAGGAGAAAGGTTGATTAAATCTACTGCAGTTCTCAATGCTTCACCCCAGAATGATTTAGACAATTTTGCATGGGAGAGCATGCATCTGATTCTGTCATTAATTGTGCGGTTCATTCTCTCTGCAACTCCGTTGTGCTGTGGAGTCTTTGGGACTGTCTTCTCAAGCCTGATTCCATGTTCCCTGCAATAATGCTCAAATGCCCCCCTGTATTCACCACCATTATCTGCTCTGACACACTTCAACATTTTACCTGTTTCTCTTTCCACACTTGCATGGAAGTGTTTGAACATATCAAGTACCTGATCTTTGGATTTCAAAACAAAAGCCCACATTTTTCTCGAGTGATCGTCAATAAATGTCACAAAATAAGAATAAACACTAAGGGATTTAACATCCATAGAGCAAACATCAGTGTGAACTAAATCCAAGATATGTGACCTCCTGTGAGGAGGGTGAGTGCGGAAAGAAACTTTATGTTGTTTACCAACAATACAATCAGAGCAAGTTTTGAGAGGTGTACCTTTCACAGAAAGTAGATTTTTCCTTGCAAGAGTGTCAAGTCCCTTCTCACTCAAGTGACCGAGCCGCTTATGCCATAGCTCTGTAGAACAATCCTCAATTGCATTCACTTGAGGGGCACATAATTTTGTAGAAGTCCAGTAAAGGGTGTTTTTCTTCACTCCCTTTGCTACCACCAAAGTACCCTTGGTGCACTTCCATTTACCATCACCAAAGGAATTATGGTAACCATCATCGTCAAGTACCTGTACTGAAATCAAGCTGAGGCACATATCAGGAATATGCCTAACGTTTTTCAAGTGCAGCTTGCATCCAACATTAGTTTCTACCCAAATATCTCCAATGCCAGCAACCTTGCTTACCCCTTGATTACCCATCTTTACCTGCCCAAAATCTCCAGCAGTATAGGATAAAAAATACTCACGATGAGGAGTAACATGATATGAGGCAGCAGAATCAACAACCCATTCATAATCTTGGCATGCGAGATTAACTGAATCATCTTCGTAAACAACAACAACTTCACCATCAGATACAACTGCAGCTGTGTCTTTATCTTCTTTATTATCATTGCCTCTTTCCCTTGATTTCTCCCTCTTAAGCAACCTGCATTCTCTTATCATATGACCTGCTTTGTTGCAATGATAGCACCTGATGTCTTTCCTGGGCCTTGACTGTCCTCTTGACTTGCTTCTGTCATTAGATTTATGAGAGGTTCTATGTTGGCTTCTCCCCCGTGACTCAATAACCAAGGCTTCTGTGTGAGTCGATGAACTAGCCGTATTGTTTCCCTTCCTCCTGATTTCTTCATTCAATAAGGCTTCTTTCACAGTATCAAAAGTCATATTGCCATTAGTGGAATTGCTCAGAGATACCACCAATGTTTCCCAACTGTCTGGTAATGAGCTAAGCAACAACAAAGCAAGTAGCTCATCAGGAAGTTTAATCTCAATAGTAGTCAGCTGATTCACAAGATTCTGAAAACTGCTCATATGCTCTGCCACTGAAGAACCATCCCTGTACTTCAGATTTACCAGTCTCCGAAATAAAAATACCTTGTTCTGTGCATTTTTGGACTCAAACATGTCCTTCAATTTCTTCCACAGGCTGTGGGCACTAGTCTCACTAGACACATGATGATAAATGCTCTGATCTATCCATTGCCTGATCATGCCAATTGTTTTTCTGTTTGCCTTTGTCTATTTTGCAACAGATTTATCATCTGGCTTAGTACCGTCTCCGTCAATGGGATCATACAAGTCCTTACAGAACAACAAGTCTTCCATACGGGATTTCCAAATAGAATAATTGGAAGAATCTAATTTCAGCATAGTACCAGCCATATCACCTTCACCCATTTTAATAGCACCAAACAGAACTCCAACCAAGGAGCTCTGATACCACTGTTGGGAAAGAAAACAAATATAGGAGATAGTAATAAAATGCGGAAGCTGTTGGATCAACTTTTCCCCTTCCCCTACGTGCAGTTAAAAATAAGCTCCAAACAAAATTGCTCAGACAACGATAATAAGTACAAAATAGAGCAAATAAAATAAGGAGACACCAGAATTATTAACGTGGGAAAAAACCCTTAAAGGGAAAACAACCCACGGGACCAAGCCAGTAAATCTTCCACTAATAAATTAATGGGTACACCACAAGTCCTCCTGGAACCACCAGGGATAACAACAGAGAAAAAATAATCTTCACCGTACAAGGTGGATATCAAATCTACGACACAACAATAAAGAGACACTCTTTGATATTTTTCTCTCTGTCTGTAGAGTCGTTCACGTTGCAGCTCTCTTCCCTCTTACTGCTGTTATATCTAACACACAAGGGTTAAAACCCTTTTAACCATTTCATGGGCTTTAGCCCACAAAGCTAATTCCTTTTTTTTTTTCCTTCTTTTCTTTTAATAATAATAATAATAAGATTAAGTGGGCTCACTTATTTTGGTGACCCACACAACAAGATACACTTCTAAACTATTTTTTTGGCAAAGATGGGATGAATTGTTCACTTATGAAATACCGGTGTGTAATTACGGTGCGTCCGAATATAGACTTCTAAATTTTGACAAAAGTATTTTCGAGTCCAAGAGATGATCCTTCACCCCATGGGGGTAGAAAAAATAGTACCCTAAATTTCAATATGTGCTAGCTTTTTCTTTGGGCCAGGCCCTCCTTTTTATCAAAACAAAGTCACTGCTATAACAAATGGGCCAAGATTTGTATTCATAAGTCTATGTGATGTGATACAAAATTCATAAGTAAGTGAAATGTAGATAGAGATGGATACTCTTTATGCTTTCATCGTGATCCCCGATATTCCCAAAATCTAATTTTAAACTAACCTCTCGTGGCACTCATGGCAAATATAATATAAGAAACATATCTAAAAACAACTACTCTGCATTCAATGACCATAATGTTATAATATTCTTAATAAATCAAATCAAAACTTAAAATAAATCTTAACATAAAACTAATAACCTCGTGTTACATACACCTAAATTTCTATATCATCACTCCATAAACATGCACAAATTAAACCTTATACATCTCTATATAAACAATCATTTACTTGACTAAGAAAAACACAAACACAAACATCATAAACCAGTATCAAAAACAATCAAGAAACAATGAAGTTCATTCCACTATGTTTCCTAATCTCTCTCTTGGTGTTGTTATTCAACACACAACCCTTACAAGGAGCTGAACCAGAACCAGTAGTAGACAAACAAGGTAAACCTCTTCAACCAAGTGAAGGTTACTACGTCTTCCCACTATGGGCCGACAATGGAGGCATTACATTGAGTCCAACAAGAAACAGAACATGTCCTCTCGACGTCATCCGTAACCCGGCCGCACTCGGCTCGCCGGTGTACTTCTCTGCACCAGGTCTTGATTACATTCCAACTCAGACTGATCTCACCGTTGAGATTCCAATTCTCGGCAGTCCTTGCAAAGAGCCAAAAATATGGAAGCTTTCAAAAGAGGGATCAGGGTTCTGGTTTGTGAGCACCGGTGGTGCGGCTGGGAACCTTGTCAGTAAGTTCAAGATTGAGAGGCTTGAAGGTGAACATGCTTATGAGATTTATAGCTTCAAGTTCTGTCCTTCTGTTCCTGGTGTTCTTTGTGCTCCTGTTGGGACTTTTGAAGATAGTGATGGAACTAAAGTTATGGCTGTTGGTGATGGTATTGATGAACCTTATTATGTTAGGTTTCAGAAAGTTTCCACTTTTGCTCAAGGTTTGAGCAGTGTTTAGTTTGATAAGGTTTTTTATTTGTGCTAGTGGTGGGGTGGGATGTGAATCATAATAAGGCAGAAAAAAAGAGTACATGTCTTTGTTTTTAAGATTTGCCATTTTTTTCTTGCATAAGTGAAATAAAATTATTCCATTTTACTCATATAAGATTTAAATGTCTCAACTCTCATTTGTCTATTTTACATTCATTTTCCTATGGGTTTATTAATTGTTTCTAATTATATTATTTAACAATCATTAAGTTTCTTAGGAGCCTGTTTTCTTCATTGTGGCCTCTTATGAGCCTGAGATTCTATTGCTGCAACATCATCAATTTCAATTCTTTAATCATTTTTTTTATCATCATATTCTTCATTCTAATCATGGTATACAAAAGTGTCTAATCTCACCTTAGGACCAAACTATAAGATAAAAAGTAAAATTTACTTATAATATAGGATTATAAGACGGAGTATTATAATACTCATGTTTTCTTAAAAATACATTTTATTGTATAGTACAATATTATTATCATTTGAATTTAATTAATATGCATTGACAGTATAAGAATTTTTATACTGTCAGTTAATTACAACCGCTGATCTATTTAAAAATTATTATTAACGGATGGTTGTGTTGTATTGATAGTGTAAAATATTTTATACTAATAGTACATAATAATTAATCTCTTATCAATTATAGTATTATGCATCCGTAAGTATGCATAATATTTGAAATTATGCGCTTAACGATATAAAAAAATTGTTATACATCGTTGATATTATTAGAAAAATATCTATGAAATTATTAGTGTGAATATTCTACCTCAATTTTGAATAAGTTGCGTTTAAACCATTTGGAGTTTACAAATTTGTAATGATCATTTTTGTTTTAATTTCCTACAATTTTATTGGGTTCCATTTAGATTTTACAGATTTATAACTGTTTTAATTTCTTTAAAGCCGTAGTGGTCACTCATACCAAAAGTCCTATAAATGATGATGGAAAGTTAAGGTACTCTGATTCAAAAGCATTTCAATGTGTATTTTCATTTCAACTACATGACCACATGAAACTAACAATATTCAAATGATGATGAGTCTTTAAAATATGCTTTCCATCCAATTGCTAATCTTTTCACAAATCTCATGTGGATTACAAATTCATTGTATGTTAATAGACTTTTAATTTTCTTTGATGTTCTTACACATAAGTCCATAAGCCGGACAATAACAATTATGAAAATTGACTATACTTCAACAGGCAAGATATAAAAAGCATCAAATGTTTCATCAAAGACGAGTTTCCAGCATTTATGCCAAATACTAATAGAGATATATGTTTTATTTATATAATATATTTTTCTTGACATAATGGTTTTAACATTTGAGATATTGGATCGAACTCTAATATAGTTGAAGGGTAGTTTTTGGTTCGACAGGAATTAAGCATGAGGTCGAAGTCTGTTCGCATGCTGCTGTCGAAGATAATGCGTGTTATAGTCGAAGTTTGCTCTAACATGCATTAGTCAATATTGCTAAGTTGTTAGCATATTGGATTGGACCTTGTTTGTAAGTTCAATTGTTTAAATTAGCTTGTACCCTAAGTTAGCTTGTAATGAATAATTGTTAAAAAGTTTATTAGGTTAGTGTGCTATTTTTTTTATAAATAGGATGCTAGTTTCTCAATCTTGGTATAAGGAAAAATAGGAAGATAAAATCCTAATTTTAAAAGAGAGAGATTATATTGTTATTCTTGTATACTTGTAATATTGTTTTAAGAGAAAGGAAAGAATAACAGTTTATAACCAATCCTTGTTGTTTTACCTTGTCTTCTTTGTTAACTCTAACTCATGTGTGTTTCTTGATCATTAAGAAACCGTTTATACCTTGTTTAAAGGTATCTGATTCACAACAAATTGGTGCGGTGAGCGTGGAGAAGATGCATTTAACAAAATATGAGATTGAAAAGTTCACCGGAATGAACGACTTCGGTTTGTAGCGCTTGAAGATGAAAGTCCTACTGGTTCAGCAGAGTTGTTTGGAAGCATTGAAGGGAGAGGCAGCCATGGACGCTGCATTAATGGCAAAAAAAAAAAGACGGACATGTGTGGTGGAAAATATATGCATATGAGATGTTGTGCTCACATTCTAAATTTGGTAGTTAATGATGGAATAAAGGAACAAGATTCTTCTGTTGAAAGCATTAGAAATGTTGTGCGGTATGTACGATCTTCTCCCCAAAGGTTTAAAAGATTTAAAGGATGCGTTGATGAAGAAATGATAAATTCTCAAAGTCTTGTGTGCTTAGATGTTTCAACGAGATGGAATTCAACTTACTTAATGTTGGAGCGTGCTGAGAGATTTGAAAAAGCATTTGGCAAACTTTATGGTCGAGAATCAGATTTTCAAAAATAGTTTCGTATTGATGATAAAGGAAAAAAGAAGGAAGGTCCACCAACACATTTTGATTGGGAACATGCAAGGACATTAATTCAGTTATTGAAAGTTTTCTATAATGTACCTTTAAGTTTCTCTAACTCTTTACATGTGACAACAAATGAATGCTTTCATGAAATTGCATCGATACAGTCCGGGTTAATTTTGTTGAGTCGTAGTGAAATTAAAATCTTACGCTTAATAGCATGTTCAATGAGATCCAAGTTTGATAAATATTAGGGAGATGTTGAAAATTTTAATCCTTGATTGTTTGTTGTTGCTGTATTAGATCCTCGGTATAAACTTGATTGTGTTACTTGGAACTTAAAGGACATATATACTAAAGAGTTGGAAGATAAAATGGTTGTTTTGGTTAAAGACACATTGAGTAAGTTACATATGTTTTATTCTAAAGGAATTTCTGAACATAAGGAAAGTGAAGATGGTCAAGTTTCATCCAAAAATGTTGCACCGAATGAGAAACTTAAAGGACCAAGTGGAGTCAAAGGTGTTGTGGAAAGCAGGGTACAAGCTTAGAAAAAACAGAAAATAGCCAAAACTCATATGGATGAATCAGAGCTTGAGATATACTTAGCATAAGATATTCTAGATGTGGGTCAGAATGTTGACTTTAACATTTTGGATTGGTGGAAGATCAAATTTTCAAAATTCAGAGTTCTTTCTGCCATAGCTCATGATATATTTTTTATTCAAGTTTCTACAGTGGCACCTAAGTCATGCTTCAGAAGTAGTGGGCGTGTTCTCGATGTTTATCGTAGTTATTTGTCTCCTAAAATGATTGAATCACTCATTTGCACTCAAAACTAGTTATATCCTTTTGCTTCAAATTCGACGAAAATGATTTTGATCATTTTGAGAATACCGAAAAGATAATTCATGGTGAGCTTAAAATCTTTTTTATGATTAATTAATTTAAATATTCTTATACTTTAAACTAATTTAGTGTCTTGTGCAGATGTTCATAATAAGGTTGTTGAGTCACAAGGAGAAAATGACAAACAAGAAGCCACAATCATTGATCATTAGTTTGTGAACTCATGAAGGATGAAACAAAAGATGCTGATGTGACTAAGGAGTCTTTGAAGTTTGATGCTTTTGAAAATTTGAACAATCTATTGGAATCATTTAGTAGCTAATGTGATGAGAAAGCAACTGTTATGTTTTAGTTTATAAGTTAGAATAATTTATACAATATTACTGTTATGAATTATGGAATCTTTCTTATATGTCTGTTAATGGAATCTGGAAACATAGCAAAAGCTTTGGATGGTTCTATATTGGTGGAATGCGGATGATAAAATCTGCTATGTTTCTAGCTTTGGGTTCTCCATCTTCTAGTATGTTTGATTTCTAAATATATGTCTGTTATTTATTTAGTGGGTTGAATTGATTTTCATTGTTTTAGTTTGATTTCTACTGTTATGGTTGATGAAGGAAATTTGCTTCCAATCCACCCTCACACGCTTTGGATAATTTCACATTCTTCTGTAAAGTGGTTTTTGAACACCCATAGTGTTATGTTAAAATAAGGAATTTATGAATCTATTAAAAGAACTTGTGATTGAAAAGTTCACATTCCTAGCTTGTAACATCAAGCACAAGCAAATAAAATATTTCAAGACAATGTTTTAGGTTCTGTTTCGATGGTTGAGAAGGTTGGTGGTGATGTTGAGATAGATGAAGATATATTCGTGTTAGTAATAACAGATGCAGTTAATGAAGAGGATTCAGAAGACTTACTTAGCTCGCCAGTAGAAGAAGCAGATGTAGTTGTCATCTTTATCTTCTTGTTTAATGGTTCTTCACCATCATCATTTTTCTTTTCCTTTCCTTTTCCCTTAATCTTTAAAATCTATGGAAGAGTATGTGGAAGATTACTCATGTCAATCTACACATTCAGTGTTTCATCTTTGCATCCAGCAAGGTAGTGTGTTAGTTCATCGGGATTATAAGTTCTTGAAAAGAGTGGAAATACATAAGTTGGAAACCTCATAGCATTAATGTCATCATTTGATGGTAGAGCAGCTCGATGAGAGATCTTTTTAATAAGCTTCATATTCTTCAAATTTTTCGTCCAGAAGATGTTTCCAGAATTCTTTACTAGTTCATTTGTTTGTCCAGTAATTAATAGAGCTTCAACAATTCCAGACTCAACAAGAATATCAGAAATGAGTCTGCCGTAAGTGATATGATTCCCCTTTTTAGTAGATCCAGTTCTTGAGGTCATTATTGAGTCTCTCAGAAATCTGAATAGGATGACAGGGAGATGTATCTTCTTTCCTTTCATTAGGAAGTATATAACATACTTCTCAAACAAATTTATGTAATCGGAAGAATGAGTAGGATGACAGTGGTAAATACTTCCTAACATTATCTTAAACCAAACTCTTAAATAGTCTTTTAAGAACAAAGATGAAGGATCTTTCTTAGAATCCAGAACAATTCCTTCTTTGAAGATAGATTCATTTACTTTTGCTCCCTTTTGTTTATCTGCTTGAACATTGTAGATTCTCAACCCCTTTCCATCATGAGAGATTAAATCACAAATGGTCTTTTCTGCGATGGTGATACATTTTCCAAACACAAAGGAGATAATGATGTTTCTGCTTGAAATTTGCATGTATCCAGAAATCTTTAACCAAGATAGAAAAGGTAGGTCCTTGTAATCTTTTAAAGAACCCGTTCTAACTTTGGAAATCAAGTGTTTAAGTAAGATCACACTTGTTATCATTTAGATTTTTGAAATCCACCATGGTTTCACAAAGAACGTGAAGCTCAACTATCGGAGTGTCTAGAGTGATAACAGGTTCCTCTGGAAAAATAAACTCATTTCCTTATTGTTGAGGATCCATTGAAGAAGATTATGGAGTTTTTCGAAGCACAAAGGGTTTTAGGGTTTCTAAGAAAAAGTGTGGGAAGTGAAAAAGTAGCGTAGTATGTGATTGTGAGAATGTGAGTATTTTAAAAAAAAATTGAGATTATGAAAAGGTAGAAGTAATAGGAAATAATTACTTGAAACCTATTCTCACGAAATCATAACGCTTAAGATGTCTCTTCAATAGTAAGTTATGATTGTATATTGGACAAGTGTCACAAGAAAATTATAGCCGTCTGTTTAAGAGAACACATTTGATGTTCCCTAAGTCAAGAATACCAAGAGGTATCTGACTAGACAAGTTTCTGATCAAGATATCTTCTAACATGTAAAAGTATTGTTAATCAGAAAGACAAATAATTGAATAACAAATATTCGTTTATCATCAAAATCAATTTTTACAGAAGGAGTTTAAACACGTTCTGATAAAACTTATTCTGGACAAAGATCCATATTTAAGTTTTTCAGAATGAACTGAAATCTATCTTCAGCTAATGGTTTTGTAAAGATATCAGCCCGCTGAAGGTCTGTATTTATAAATTTTAAAGTTAAAATCCCTTTCTGAACATAGTCTCTGATGAAATGATGTTTAATTTCAATGTGTTTAGCTCGAGAATATAAAATGGGATTCTTACTTAGGCAAATAGCAGGTGTGTTATCACAGAAGATAGAAATGTTTCCCTCATAAATTTGAAAATCTTCTAATTGATTCTTCATTTAGAGCATCTGAGTGTTGCACAATGATGCTGAGATATATTCTACTTCTGAAGTAGATAGTGCAATGGTTGATTGCCTTTTGCTTGCCCAAGAGACGAGGTTGTTACCCAGAAACTGACAATTTCCAAAGGTGTTTTTCCTTTCTAATCTGTCTCCAGCATAATCTGCATCACAATAACTAAAAAGTTTGTAATCTGATGTTTTCTTATACATCAAGCCAAGGTTAATTGTTCCCTTTAGATACCTTAGGATTCTCTTAACAGCTGTTATGTGAGTTTCCTTTGGATCTGATTGGAATGGAGCACAAAGACATACACTAAATAGAATATCTGGACGAGAAGCAGTTAGATACAGAAGAAAGCCTATCATACCACGATAGAGCTTTTGACAAACCTTTTTACTTACTTCTTCTTTCTCCAGAATGCATGTAGGATGCATGAGAGTCTTTGCAGGTTTACTATCTGACATCTCAAACTTCTTCAGAATTTCTCGTGCATATTTGCTCTGGTAAATGTATGTTCCTTCTGAACGTTGATCAATCTGAATTCCTAGAAAGAATCTAAGTTCTCCCATCAGACTCATTTCAAATTCTGCCTGCATTAACTTAGAAAATTCCTTGCACAAGGAATGATTAGGAGAACCAAAAATAATATCATCTACATAAATTTGCACAACTAGAATATCATTCTTAAGAGTTTTGCAAAAGAGTGTAGTATCTACCTTCCCTCTGGTAAAATCATTTTCCAAAAGGAAATGAGTAAGTTTGTCATACCAAGCTCTAGGAGCTTGGTTCAGACCGTATGATGATTTCTTCAGTTTAAAAACATAATCTAATTTCTCAGAATTTTCAAAACCAGGGGGTTGATGGGCATACGCTTCTTCAGAAATATACCCATTCAAGAATGCGCTCTTAACATCCATCTGATAAAGAATGATGTTATGATTAACAACAAAAGAAACTAACAAGCGTATAGATTCTAACCTGGCAACTCGTGCAAAGGTTTTAGTATATTCTATCCCCTATTGTTGACTATAGCCTTGTGAAACCGGTCGAGCTTTGTTTCTCACGATCTCACCTTTCTCATTGAGCTTGTTTCTGAATACCCATTTGGTTCCAATAACATGGACACTTTTTGGTTTATGAACAAGATTACAGACATTGTTTCTGGTGAATTGATTTAGTTCTTCTTGCATGGCCATAATCCACTCATTCTCCAGAAAAGCTTCATCAATTGATGTTGGCTCTACCAGTGACACCAAACCCATAAGATTTTCTTCATATGGTTTGAATGATGAACGAGTTATGACTGGATCAACTTTGTCTCTCAGAATCAATTCTTCAGTATGAGAAGTCCTTAGTATATTC